GGTTTGCTCGCTATGTCCAGTACAGAGTAAACCCCAGGCCAACCATTAAGTTAATAGCAGCAAGAGGAGGCACTTTAGATGGCAATTAATTGGTGGCAGGGCAAAAGCACTGTCCATCGGCCTTCTCACCACAAATTTGATCAGGATGGAGGCAGGAAGATGACATGGTTCCCCCACCAGCCATCTTCTAGTCTGATTAAACCTTCCCTCCCATCACCACTAAAGTGACCACAGGGGAGAACACAAGTTTACGCCTGTAAAATATGTTTTGCTTTCCACACCTGCATCTATTTTTCTTCATTATCATAAACCAGTCTAAGCATTTCTGAAGAATGACCATTGCTCACATAAGAGCTTACAACAAGTCCGTACAGTGCTCTATTCTTTATGATCCATCAGGTCTATCTACAATATAAAACGTAGAGAGAAAGGGGATAAACATATGATTAAGGTGAAATTTGACAAGAGAATAACGTGATGCCCCTCAGGCTACAGATTATATTACGATTGTGGAACTTTTGAAATTTCAACATAATTGAAGCCAGTAAAGGCATCTAAAGAAGTGCTAAGGTAATGATTTTAACAGTTGAAAGCTCTTTATCACCTTGCTGCCTGCTGGTGCTCAACATCATTACATTCATCATTGCAACAATATTTCTGTTGTTGTTACATTTGGTACATCAAGACTAACTCCAAAGCCTGAGGTTCCTGGCAGAATTTTAAACCATTTGTATAATCTTTCAAGCATTAAGAAAGAAGATTTGAATTAATTTAATTGCACACTCAAAAGTTTACATAACCTGTGCCAATAATTGCAAAAGCCATCTGTTCTCCTGAAAATCAAGATTTTAATACATCTTATGCAGAGATAACACATCAATCGATGAAAACCACTCCCTTATGTGCAGGAAGATTAAGAAAAATAGTAGCTTTCTAATCAATCTTTTATCTTGTAGCCCAGAATTCTTCAGCTTCTATGTGTACAGCATAGAATTGTAGGATATGGAATTGCATCTGTTCCTTTAGATTCTACAACTACTGATGTGTTAAGGTGGACAGGGCAAAACAGAATTCAAGGAAAGGAATCAAAACAACATAACTTTTCAATCCTATTCTCTCCTCCTTCTTGAAGGTTTCCAATCTTATAGCATATCTTAGTGAGGTGTGAAATTCTGGTCTGGGGCTATTAATTCACAAATAATGTATTCACGTCTTGAGAAAGCTGCTGGCTTTGATTTAGTTTCTTAGAGTTTGGAGATCTCAACCAATGTTCTACCAACAATACCTGAAGCAATGATCAAAACATTCCATTTTTTTTTCTTTCAACAGGGCAAATTTGTACTGGAAAGAAACCAGTTCTGTCAGTCAATACTGAGATTGTTGTTTTTTGATATATATATCATACCTTGCTACATCATCTTTGCATTAATTCTACTTTGTTAAATCAGCTGCATTTAATTATCACTGTATCGTACAGCATGATTTCTCAACAAAAAAGCTCACTCACCATTTGTAGCTCTTACCGACAGGTTAAGGCGATATTGTTAAAGACAAAGAACCATAACAATTTGATTTTATGCACTAAACATGACAGAATCAAATTATCACAAGCTACAGCTATTCTGAATTGCTAAGGGAAAAAAAAAAACACATTCCACAATTGGGGCGGCATGGTGGCTCCATGCTTAGCACTGCTGCCTCTCAGTGCCAGGGACCCGGGTTCGATTCCGCCTGCAATGTCTGTGTGGAGTTTGCACATTCTCTGCATCTGCATGGGTTTCCTTCCACAGCCCAAAGATGTGCAGCTAGGTGGATTAGCCCTGGGAAATGCAGGGTTGCAGGGATAAGGTAGGGAGGTGGGTCTGGGTGGGGTTCTGTTCGGAAGATTGGTATGAACTCAATGGGTGGAATGGCCTGGTTTCGAATTGTAGGGATTCTATAATTCTATAGAATGTGTAATATTCAAAGTAAAATTACACATCAGTCCTTCAAAGCCAGATGCCTTTGCACCAAATTTGAACAATAAGTTTAACTTGCTTGACTATTTTTAATGGGGTAACAGAGAGAAATGATAAAGGTAAAGTTGTTGATGTGGTGCACAAGGACTTCGGAAAGGCACTTGTTAAGTGCGGTCCAATATACTTGTGAGAATAGTCAGATTTCACCGAATAAAAAGGCCAGTAGTAACAGATATAAAACTGACTGAGGAATAAACAATGGAGTAGTTGTGAAGAGCTTTTTTTCAGATTAGAGAATATTTTATATTGGTTCTCCTTTTCCTCATGTATATCAATGACCAAGATTTGAGCACACAGAACACAACATTTACAGGTATGTGAGGGAGAAAGTTAAATTTCATTAGGACAGAGACAAGTTGGTGGAAAAAGTGACAGATGAAACTTAATAGCAGGGAAGTTTATTTTAAATTCATTTATGGCAAGTGGGCTTCACTGGCTAGGGATACAGTAGAGAGAGCAAAACTATTCCCACTGTCAGAAGGATTGGGAATGAGAAAATATCAAAGTGGTAGGGAAACAAACAATGGTGACGTGAGGAAAACTTACTTATAAAGCAAGTAATTAGCATCTAGAATATACAGCCTCAGAGTCAGTGGAGGTAGATTCAATTGTAGCCTCCAAAAGAGAAGGAAATCATTTTCAGGACTAAGAAAAAGGCAGGGTGGGTGGTAGGATTAGGTGAATTGTTTTTCCAAAGAGTCTGCATGGGCACAATGCATTATACGGTCCCCTTCTGTGCTACAGTAGCTTTAATTGAAAAGATAGAAACCAATGTCTGTGGTCTCGCCAAAAATCTGTTCGTTTATTATTGACCCCATCCTCTTCCTGGCAACTCATTGTTTTTATGCCCTTTAACTGAAGTTTGAGCAGGGAATCTCAATGATATACTTAAATGATAGGGTAGGTAACGATAAATTATTTCCTCTCATTGGGGAACATTTGAGCCTTAGAAATAATAGAGACACATCCCTTAAAAATAGAGCTGAGCCATTTCGGAGTGAAATCAGTAACTATTGCCACACAAAGTAGTGAAAGTCTTAGACACTCCCTCAGAGGTTACAGGTACAAGGTCAACTGGAGCTTCAAATGCTAAAGCAGATTTTTGTTGGCCAAATGACTAGATGTCACAGAATAAAGGTGGCTACATAGTTATTGCTCTAGCATGTTCAAATGGAATGTCTATGGGTTCATGGGATTAAAAAGACCACTGTTGCTGCTGTGTTCTTTCAATGATCATCCAAGCCATGCCTGGCCTGGAAAAGAACCGCACGCAGACAGTGGTTGTCAAAAGGGGGAAAATGTGCAATTTATCAACACCAAACTAACAAGAATAAATGAAACTAGCCAGTTCACAGCAGAACAGGTTACATTAGGACTTTTGAACCCACCTGGGAGTTCTCACTTACATCAGCAGTTGACCGAAATACTTTGAGAGGAGGGGTTAAAGTGGAGGCTAACGAGTGGGATGTCACAATGTACAGCAGAACAATCGCACTCCACTGACAAGCACCAGTTTCGTATCTTTCAGTGGTGCCTCAAGTATGGCCCAGTGATCAAATGTGGTCAAGTTCTGACAATCTGGTCCATAAAGTTCCAGAAACTAGGTCTCAACTTCACTCTTTTTTTCCTATTCATCCAATTTTTTTTTGTTAAAAAATCATGAAGGTTGAACATTTGTTGCTGCTGCCTCAGTGGTGGATATATTCTAAATCCTTGTAACCAGAGTATAAAATCATTCTTCTAAAGCTGTTTAGATGGAATTACCTGTTTTGTTAATTAAAGTTAGGCGTTTACATATTTGGTGGTCTCTGGAGTCAATTTGTTCCAAGGAACTAACACATACCTTTGCTATTAGTAAAGGAATGATATAATAAACTGGAAGGATCCACGTGCAATGTATTTTTAGGCACTTTTGTAATATAAAATTTCAATTAACTGTTCATATACTGCTCCTGCTGTTAGGTGCGCTCAGCAATTTATTTTGTTCCAGCAATAACAGAGACCCATTCGTGTGCATCTTCCACCTGCCACCAGATGCTTAATGCAAAACAGTGCCACTGAAAATGCAAATAATGGATAGGTGACATCAAAAGGTTGGCATAATTCTTTCAAAGTCAGTATGAGAAAGTGAAAGCTTCTGGCATTAGGTGTAACCATTACCTGGGTATTTTCTCAGCACATAATAGGCCATGAACTATTGTGCCAGGCCTACAGAATTGAAAATAAGCTTACTGGACTATAGCAGTGTTGTACTGCTGATGCTACTGCAATGTATTCCAGAATTAACTCTTCACCACTGGATGACAGCATGATAGAAAGATAAACAAATGAACTATAAAAATAACTGTACCACTACACCTGCAGGATGTGCGGATGCACTATCCTTCAACTCCCGTCACCATAAATTTGCAGATACTAACAGCAGGTGACAACATTGTATCTTTTTAAAGACAATGAGGGATTTAAAATACAAATTTGCACCTGCTTCCTCATAACCCTACACAGCAACAACTTTTTTTTCAGAGCACGACAAAGTAATGAACATTTCCCTTGCAAGTTCCTTTATCTACAAGGTCATGTTGGCATAAACATTCCAGTTTCAGGGTACACGTCGCAGAATACACTGCGTGCACAGAAAAGACATACAGGAAGCACCACTGAATCAAATAATAAAAAAAGCTAATTTCTCAAAACATATTTTGTTAATTTTAAATTTAAAAACTTTACAAAGGAGCATTGAACTTGGGCTCCTCATGTGGTTTATCATGTGGTTTATTAGCCCAAAGTAAAGTCCACTCTACTAATCAGCTGACAATTTAACATCAATACTAATGAGCCATGATTAGTATCATTAGTTGAAGCATCCCATTTTCTGCAAAGTTTAATTTTGATTAGATTGTAAATATGGCAAGTTTCCTTAAAACAAAATTGAGACAATTTTGAAACCAAAAACGTCCTGCAGTTAAAGGAAGGAAAACTTACCCAGTCTTTCTGTTCACAAATGCTATCTAGTATCTCTCAAAACAAGTTTTGGTTTTTGAATATCAGGTTAAGATCCAAAGGTTTTCTGGATAATTAAACAGCAACACTGGCCTCTGCTGATTCAGGAATTTCAATGGTACAAATGGTCTTGATTCATTAGCTTAGGGAAGGGAAATATAACTGTTAGTGATTGCAATGTACTGACTCAAATGAGTTGGATGAGGGATAAAAGGAAAATACTGCATGCTGTGGACATTACAAATCTGAAACAAAACTCAATGTCAGAGAATGTCAGCAGATTTGGCAGCAACTCTGGAGACAGAAACAGGGTTGAAGTTTCAAGTACAGCATGATGACGCTTCACAGATGAATGATTTTTCGGGAACCAAGAACACAACATTTAAGTTCGCTGACAATATCATGACAAATAGCAAAATAAGCCAAAAGAATGGCACAAAACAGCTGCAGGGAGACAGACAGATTGGTCTGAATTTGCATCGAGTCAGAACGACTTGGGTGCCCTCTAAAACTGTTGGGCAGGTCTCGATTCTGGGGTTCCGATTCCATTCCTGGGTTTCATAGATCATAGAATCCCTACAGTGTAGAAACACGCCCTTCGGCTCAACAAGTCCACACCAACCCTCACAGCACCCATCCAAACCCATCCTCCTACAACCCACCTAATCTACACATCCCTGAACACTACGGGCAATTTAGCATGGCCAATCCACCTAGTCTGCACATCTTTGGACTGTGGAAGGAAACCGGAGCACCCGGAGGAAACCCACGCAGACACGGGGAGAATGTGCAAACTCCACACAGACAGACAGTCGCCCGAAGGTGGAATTGACCCCGGGTCCCTGGCGCTGAGAGGCAGCAGGGCTAACCACTGTGCCACTGTGCCGCCCCGCGAGTGTTTAAGTGCATTGGTTAGTTCATTCAGGAACCTGCTTGGCTGTCTCCATTGCAGAGATAGGCATGTTTTGTCATCTGGACTCTTCTTGGAGTTAAACCTTTTTTTTTGAAGAGTTGTGGTTCACAGCACCACCGAGGGGTTGCAAACTACAGCTACATGAGGAAATCTTTTCAGAAATGCTTTTCTGAAGAAGGGTCTAGGCCTGAAACGTCAGCTTTCCTGCTCCTCTGATGCTGCTTGGCCTGCTGTGTTCATCCAGCTCTACAGATTACAAACAAATGCCATTTTTGAGGTTTTTTAAAAAAATTAGATATTCTATTTTCATTACGGGTTAACGGTTTCTACACGTTGCATAGCAGTTGAATCAGCATGCAAGTGGCATTGTTTAGCAGAGGAGTAGCTGGGTGGCCTGAGGTAGCATGGGAAGCAGATCCTTTACTTTTCTCTTTATGACGTGCACTAAGTTCCACAGCACTGAGCTGGGCCTCTTAATCAACCAACTTTGGATCTGGCAGCCCGTGAATGCCTGCAAATTCTTTGTGCCAGCTAGCCAGTTTGTAGCCTGCACTCTCCTCCCAGTAATAAAGGTTGTGACTTTGGAGCTACTCTTTTCCCCCCGCAAGGTGAGAGTGTGGAAAGGTGGGAATCTTCCTGACTCCAGCTACCTTCATAGATGAAAATCCAGACCATTAACTAGGTGCAAAAGATGGCAGATGGAATGTGATGTGGAGAAAGGTGAAAATGTATATTTTAGTTGTAATAATAGAAAAGCAGAATATTTTCCAGTAAAAGGCTAGGAAAAGTTGGTAAGGAAAAGGATTTGGTCATTGAGCACTGGGATGAGGATACATTTCTTCAGTCAGATTGTTGCGAACTTTTGGAATTCTCTCCCTGGATGTTGGGAATTATTGTATAGATTTAGGGCTGGGATCAACAGATTTTTTTGGACATTAAGGCAAAGGATTAAGGAATGAGGATGGGAAAGTGAACTTGAGGTAGATCAGCCATGATGATATTGAATGGCAGAGCTGACTTGAGGGACAAATAGACAATTTTTGCTCCCATTTCTAATGCTTTTATGACCCCTGCTGGTAAATGCACACTGAGATATTTTCCGATCAACCTAAGTAGAGATATTACTCCACACATTTGGAGGAGGGAGGGACTTGAATTCAGGCCTCCTGGTTCAGAAGTAGAGATATTACCACTGTGCCCTGACAGCTGTTAAGCAACACATAGATTGGTTGAGATCAGACTGTGTTCAGATGCAATGCCAACATGACTGAATTATCTGATAAATCTCTCAGGTCATTTTATAAAAGATTAGTTTAAAGAGCATCAATCGCTTTTTACTTTGACGTCTTTTTAAGAAATGAGATAAATGGCAGTAAATATGCAAATGTAAAAGACTACCTGTATGTTTGCTACTTGTGCAATATATTTAGTTCATCTTTTAAGCATTAAAGATGAGGTCTATGACACTGTGTTGTTGCTTGTGGCAACTGAAACCTTTTGGAGGTATAATACAGTTCTGAGCAAGTTGCTAAATGTTCCCACAGATCACAAGATGAGACATTTGCAAATTTTGTAATCAGTAATCACTCTCAAACATCAACAAAATCAGAAATAATTTTGAATGTGATTAGAAAGACAAAGTTAAAAACAAAGCATAACATCCAGAATAGCTTTTGCCTTCTGGTAATGTTTCTTTATACAACTGCAGTGTTCCCACCACCTATTTCCTAAAGAATAATATCCTGCCTCAAGGTTTTTAAATGGATTAGATGTGCAACTCAACATTCCTGTAAAATAGGATTCCTTGGGCAATGGACCACACCCTACCTTCAGTGTTTTTCACACACCTGTGCTGAATAGTGGACCTGAGTCATTTAGTGAGGCAGGTTATTATAATGTATTAGCAGTAAGTTCACTTCCCCAACACATCAAATGTCTTGGGTTCTTTTCTATTAGAAAATGACATGTAGCGCTTCTGTAACTGAACTGTCATTTGTATAAAAGATTTCCCCTGGGCAGCAGCTGCGTCTCCCTGCTTTTGGTCAGATTATTCTAGTTCAGCAGTTGGAACACTGCAATACATGGTCTTT